AAAACAGAAAATTGAAATTTGCAATTTCATTACGTGAACATAAATGTACTTGTTTGCTCAGTGCGGCAGTGGTAGAGGGTGGGCTGCTGTAACTTAAAAGTGGTGAAGGAAACTAGGAGCCTGGACTATGGCTGTGGGTAGGAACAGGAAGAGCTGCCAGATGTTTCTTAGATGTCCTAAAATGGAGTCAGAGGCTAGAGCAAAGAAAATACTTAGAAGAAGATCTAAGATGTTTCTTTGACACTGAGTGACACAATGAATCAAGATTTTCAATGTGATTTCACTGCTGATTTGGAAGTCGAATAATAAAAACAGATACCCACTATTATCTAGTGAGTTGGGAGAAATTTTAATGAGTAAATAAAATGTACTGTATAAAAACTAATGTACTATATAAAACTATACTGTACGAAAACTAATGCCCCAAATTCAATCTATCTCTTCAATCTATTTTTTCTTCACTTTAAATATTTGTGTAAGAATTTCAAACACATGGTAGTATTTATGCTGCATTTATTAAGCAAAGATTGATTTTTTTCAGAAATAAGTCAGTCATTTAATATTTGCCTTTTGAGTGAGCTCAGCAATCGTGTGAACTGACTGACCAACATATTGGCTTAGGTAAAAAGAAAGCATTAAACAGGTGGGACTATGTTCCTACCTTAATATTTAGAACATGCTCACTCCCACTTCCTATGTTAGATCAGTAAAATTATACTGAGTTCTACAGAGAGATATGTACATTCATGGCTAGGTTATTGAGAGGACATAGTTTAACAACTTTGTACTAGAATATTTTTAAAAGATTTAATTGAAATCTAAAAAGGTAACTAAATAATGTTCAAATGAGAGTTGTGAAATATGTTTAAATGCCTATGAATATTTGTGACGCAAACATTACTTTTAAGTTTCAATCTGTATTTCCCATGTAATGACAACTAAGTCCCGGACTCCATTAGTTCCTTTTGACCTATTATATTGCCAATGTTACTATTGCCAATTTTATTAAATACACTTGAATTTAAACTACGCATTTATAACTCTAAGGCATGCTACTTATTTCAAAAACTATTATTTGCTGTTACTTACCTTTGTCTTTTTTATTTGCATTTGTATAGAATTTACAGAAAATTCCAGTATCTACTAAATCCTCGTCAAGTTTATAGTCTTGCTGGAAGTGGACCAATGCCAGGGTAAGTCCAAGGGTATTATTAGTATCATCAACCTGCTTAATTGTAACAAATGAAATTAGCAGAGTGACATACTAGATGTAATATCCTTTGAGTACAACAACCAGGTCAGTACATGCAAAGAAAAACTAAATATCAACTATGAACGAGAATCTATAAAAGATATTTTTAAACTCACACATAGCTCACTTCAAATATCTTCTGTTATGAGCACTGGGAAGTACTGCTAAAAATAATACTAATAATAACAGACACAAAACACTAGATAAGTACCTAAACTACTAAGCTATCTGCTTTAAGAACTACTTTCTTTTACTAATTAAATAAAAATCCATACCTGATTAAATGTAGAGAAATATAGTTAACAAGGAAAAGAAATTTCAACATGAGTTTTTCATTAACTACTTGGAAAGTCTAATGACTATCAATTATACTTCATTGTTAGTAGGTAATAGTCAAAGAAAATTTTTTTCAATATAAGCCATATACTTTTCACATCATAGATATGAGGTGAAATGAAATGTAATAACTTCACTAGTTAAATAAGTAATACCCTCTTTTTCCATTGACATATTTTCCATCAGTTTGAAGATAAACATCAGGCAACTCGGAGGAGACAGAAGCTCTATAAGCTTTATTCATGGTCTTTCATAAGAATCGGTGCAATGTGAACTATGTCTTTTAGATCACGCTTAAGAACTACAAACTAAATATTGAAATCCTATTCCTAAAGGTGTAGGAAGTAATTTATAGCATCGTGTCTTACGCTAAATAGATGTTAATAAAGTATGTGGGGCTCGCATCGGCTGCCACAAGCGTATTCACCTTTTCCTGCTGCTCCTTGGCTGCTCCTGTGCGTGACACGTTTCCAAATGGGGAGCAGTGGGGTGCAGAACCCCTCTCTAGAAAAGCAGGCTTACCAGAGAACTGTTCAGAACGCCACCTTTATCAAACTCCTGCACACTCCAGAATCCCAAGGCTCGGGATCTGGCTGCTGGCTACGCAAGCCACTTGCAGGAAGTGCCTACGTCAGTAAAGCCAGGCTAACGTTAGATTTTGATGCTAACTTTGATGCTCAAGTTAGCCTGGTTCTTTTCCTCGCCAACTAATATTCTCCGGATTTCACATCAGTAGCTCATATTGTGCAGGAATTAGAAATCATTGCTGCAGACATTTAGTCATCCCAAGACCCCCAAAGGGTCTCAAAAAACAGATAAATCCAAGCTTTCCTTGATTTTGTGAAGTACCCACTGGCTTTCTTAATTACTAGCTTAGTAACTCGACCTCTGTGTGCTTCCATTGCCTTACCTGTGAGGTGAACACTTGAACCTACCTCAGAGGGTAGTGAATTCCATGTAAAGTTCAGTGGGTTGATGTCTGTGAAGCAGAACAGATAGCTATGGGCTTCCCGTATAATATCTTCTCATTCTCAGTAATTGTAATTACTGCCAATGCTACTAGTTTTAATATTAAGTAGCAATTTGCTGAGTTTACACACCTATAATATTCAATAACGGAACTTAGAAAAAATGGGGTATACAGATGAATGTCCATTTTGTATCTGTGTATTCAAAGTGGTTGGGATAGATATATAGTTACATTCTGTTAATGAATAGAATGATTTGTTCTAATGGTGTTTGTAAATAGGATCACAAGTCCGCATCTTGTACAGCAATTAACCACTAAGAAGAATATATGCAGTGTATTATTTGTTGAAAAATAAAAAAAAATAAAATATTGATAACGAAAAAAAAATAATGGATATATAGACATGTATATATAGTTTATATATTTGGATCTGTGTATTCGATTTTGTACTTTAAATGTGACAAATAAATGTTCTGAGAGAAAAAAATATTAAGTAGCAATTACTAGTAGCATGGAAACTTTGCAAATCTCTGTACATACGCTGCAGCAATATACATTTTTAGCAGTCCTCTCCCGTTTTGCTACTATGCTTTAAATGTTCATTACATTATTTTCACTTGTAATGTTAGACATCTTACTATCATTCATTTTATTTTTATACGTTTAAAAAAGAAATTTTACGTACATATATAAAAAGTCTATGAATATTACTAGGAAAATAAGTTTGGGGCCCATTTCAATAGCTACCACTCTTTAGAGATTACCATGGTAATTAGGCATGGTTCTGTGTGATTATCTTTCTGCTTATCTAATAGAGTCAAATATTTACCTGTATGTTGAAAATGTACATATTTTACATAATTTAGAGTACAGATTTTCTACTGTTTTGCAGTTTGCTCTTTCTGATGGGCATTTTTTTTCATTTATATATTGTCATTTCTAAGAACTATATAAAATTTTGTTTCTTAGCTATCCTATAAAGAATAGAATGCCTTTTTTGTTTACCACCAATATCTCAGATCAATATTTCTATTAATTTATCCATATATTTTTGAAAGCATGTTCCAGTATTTCTTATAATAAATTGCTATAGGTAAAATTGCTTGATTGAGAATGTTTTTATTTTAACTATGCCAGGTTTTATCAATTACTCTCCAAAAAGTTTCTATTAAACTACAATACCAGGAAGAATATAAGTGTGTAATTTCTGCAATATCTCTTAAATTGGCTTACTTCAGTAATGTGTTTTATTCATTTGATAAAAGAAATTACATTCTTGTAATTTTTCTTTGCATGTTGCTGATCAACTAAAAAGTCACATAAGTATTAATTACATTTGCTTTTCTGTAAGCAACAGAAATGTGTTGTAATTGGTTAGTAGAATGACAAGTAAAATGGGATGACTAGCCAGATGTGGTAGCACATGTCTGTAATTCCAACAGTCTGAAAAGCTGAAGCTAAAGGATTTCAAGTTAGAACACTACCTGGGTAATTTAGTGACTTAGCAAGTTCCTATCGCAAAGTAAAAAAAAAAAAAAAAATGGTCTGGCAATGTGGCTTAGTGTGAAGGCTCTATATGCAATGTCCACCGCTTTAGAAAACAAACAAAAGATCTGAGAAATTATGAAGTTGTTCACTGAATTGACAGAACAGTGATGAATGAATTTGTGAAAGGATGGGATTCAGGACAATTTAAACAAAATACGAAGAATCAAAAGACCCTTTCCCTGGAAACAACTGTAAAAGAACTGCTAGCCCTTGTTTCTGGTGCTCTTTGTCTACTCAAAGTTTGTACCTCAGGCAGAAGCCTGTGTGTTTGTCATGCTGAAGCCGTGGCCTGTGAGGAGTTGGGCCTCTTCACTAAGAAGCTTATTCAAGCTGTCTAAATCATTTGCTTCCTGGAAGCAAGTGAGGATACTGTAGCCCATGAGGAAGATGAAATGTGTGCAGGAAGAAATAGGCTCCAGCTCACTGCGGCAATGGTGCTGAGCAACGTCCCTTCTTTCTGTACATGGGAAGTGGCAGAAAAGATTTAAATGGTGAACAAGTTGTTATCACTGCACATGTAACTGAAAACAAAGTCCCAACTCCTTCCCTGCAGATAACCCAACATTTGTCTTCTTATCATAGCCAGCTGCAAGTTCTGGCTCCCTGGGTGCCTCTCCGTAAAGCCTCTTCTGTCTTTATCCAGTCAGTCTCAGTAAACTGACCTATAAGCAGAAAATTCCAAGTGTAACCAAAAACATGATTTAACTCTATAATGCTGTCAATATAAAGAATAAAAATGTGTAATTTTTATAGCTTTTAACTATAGAATGTTTTAGCTAGAACTGAAAATCACTGTTAGGTACATTTTAGGTGGTTAGAAATATTTACATAGAAGAATCACTGTTTTCATCTAATAGGTCTCCAACTTTGGTAGTGATGTGGGTGTAGGGCAAAATTATTGTCCCATGTAACTTTACTGGTAGGAACACAGCACATAAAAATATTACTGCTCTCAAAATAATTTCCCTGCTTATTCTTGAGCAACTTATCCTATCCTACTTCTTTTCCCCCTAGGGATTAAGAGCAATGCTATAACTTTATCTCATGCTAGTATGGGGAGAAGAGTGTTTTCCAAATGTTATTTTCCTCCTCTATAGTGCCTATCATATTCTAGATAGCCACTCATTCATAGGCTTGGATAGGGGCTGGGGAGATAGCTAGGTGGTCTAAGCACCTGACTGGGAAGCTCAAAGACCTGGGTTAGATCCCGGTGTCACATGCAGTGCCCGACCTGGAACCTTGGGCACACTGTGCTGGCCCTGCATGCCTATAAACCTAGCACTAGAGAGGCTGAGACAGGAGGATCACTATGAATCTGAACTCTGTAGCAATACCCTGTATCAAATAAATAGACAAGCTTGAATAATGAAGTAAAGGCAGAGATATAGAGCCTCATAGTTACCTAAACAAGAATTATTAGAAAGGCCCAGGAACACTGTGAGAGTACGTTTCAATTGCTTGCTACTCTCTGTAATGTAGGCAATAGTAATGAAAGCACACTTAGTAGAGATCCCTCAAGTACTTCCTGCTCTGTTGTACAGCAGCCAGCCATTTCCCCCCTGGGGAATCCAAATTATTGCATCAGTAAACCATCCATCATGTCTTGTGCCTCATTGCCAAGTGGCATGATCAGCCTGAAAATGTCCACAAGGAAGATGAAGTTGAGAGCACTATCATCTCTCAAGGTAGTTTATCTCTCTCTTTGGTTAAAAACCCATCTAGACTAAAAGACAGGAAAATCAAGAGGACTCAAAACACAGTGTTCACTTTGTGCTCTCTCCAGAGAAAGAGAACCAATGTATGCATGCCTATCTACATATTAGAGAAACTGGTTTAAGAAAAAATGGCACCCAAAATCTTTGCGTGGATCCTCATTCCCAGCAACATTTATTTTATGTATTTTTTAAGATCTTGAGGCAAGATCTTGCTAAATTCTTAATTTGCCAAAGCTCTCCTCGAACTTTAAATCTTCTTACTTCAGCTTCACGGAGAAGTGAGATTGCAGGAATGAAACCTGACACCCAGTTGATGAAGAGTGACAACAGGAACCGACCTGTGAGGCTGTGGAGGCTGGGGCACTCAAATTC